ACAGCCGGCTGAACATGAGCCGGCAGTGTGCCCAGGTGGCCAAGAAGGCCAATGGCATCCTGGCCTGTATCAGAACTAGTGTGGCCAGCAGGAGTAGGGAAGTGATCGTGCCCCTGTACTCGGCACTGGTGAGGCCGCACCTCGAATACTGTGTTCAGTTTTGGGCCCTTCACTACAAGAAAGACATTGGGGTGCTGGAGCGTGTCCAGAGAAGGGCAGCAAGGCTGGTGAAGGGTCTGGAGCACAAGTCTTATGAGAAGCGGCTGAGGGAACTGGGGTTGTTTAGCCTGGAGAAAAGGAGGCTGAGGGGAGACCTCATCGCTCTCTACAACTACCTGAAAGGAGGTTGTAGCGAGGTGGCTGTCGGTCTCTTCTCCCAAGTAACTAGGGATAGGACGAGAGGAAATGGCCTCAAGTTGTGCCAGGGGAGGTTTAGATTGGACGTGAGGAAAAATTTCTTCACCGAAAGGGTTGTCAAGCACTGGAACAGGCTGCCCAGGGAAGTGGTTGAGTCCCCATCCCTGGAGGTATTTAAAAGACGTGTAGATGTGGTGCTTCGGGACATGGTTTAGTGGACATGGTGGTGTTGGTTCGACGGTTGGACTCGATGATCTTGGAGGTCTTTTCCAACCTTAATGATTCTATGATCCACATTGAAAATGTCCTTTGTACATTGTTTTGCCATTGACAGTGCTAGAAGGAATGTTAAACTAATGCATTTTTTTAGGCAGCATGTTGACTTATGTGCTCACACGCTGGAACAAGTTTTATTTTACTTTAAATCTGCTTAATCAACCCAAGCTATCACGTTATTTTGGAGGAATTGCAGTGCATTGTTAGTATATGGCTATGCAGATAAACACATATGGTTTTTATATGCAGAAGCATAATACAACTGAATATATCTGGATGCATATTTTCTATATAACTGTGTATGTGTATCTTTTTTAACCTTTTCCTCTGAATGCATTTCTCATCCAATTTATGCCTGCACTTCTGTGAATATTTCCTTTCCAGTCCTTTTCACCCACTCATACCGTTCTTCAACATACTTGGGATTTATTTTCTTCTGATCGTCTCTGTGCTATTCAGTAGATTTTTCTCTTCTGTCTTTAGACTCCTGCCCTTTCTTTGCTTCTTCCATTTGGTATCCTGCAAATTTCCAGCATTTTTCTTGTATTTCATCCACACCTTTGGGGTTACGTTCTTGTAGGTTCCACTTGTCCTAGTTAGAGTGACAGTGGGTTGTCTACAGAAGTGTTCCCTTTTCTGAACAGGGTAGTTGGAGCTTACTCCCTGGCCATCTTGACTCTCCAGCAAGGAATGAGGAAGGAGATCAGTTAGAGCCTCTTGTGTACCTGTTACAGGTCATTCTGAATATTAGGATGGCTGGGCTGGAGATCAAATTTACACCACTTGCTCCTAGGCTTTCCATTTAGTTGACATCTGTGGATGAATTAGTCATACCTCTCTCTCTTTCTCCTCCCCCCCACCCCCCCAACAGTTTAATGACCTCAGAGTAAGTGACTGAGAAGAAAGCTGTCTTGTGATACTGGAACAAAAGAATGTTTGGCATTTCATTAACAAATCCTACCAAAAAGGACTATATTCAGCCTTTCTCTTAACAATGCACTGTCAGTTTACTGTCCTGGGCAACAGTATCAAAAAGTCTAGTGCAAAAAGGGATGGAGTTTTTTATTGCTTTTATCTTCTACAAAAGCTGGAAATTAGTAGGATATCATCACAAGACTGAAAGAAATGAAGTTCAGACTTGTGAATTGTAACTTTGATGTCAGTTGAGTCCTCTGTTGTTTATATCTGAGTAGATGGCATGAGTGCAGAGAAGTGTCTTGTTTTCAGGTAACTATCCTGCACCACACAGAGTTCTGTTCATCAAGTGGTCGACCAGACTCACAATGGGTCTTCCTGAGCGTCTAGTATGAATGTGGCTAGGCACACCTCATGTGTCCCTTTCATTGACTGCTCCATGGCATTCTTGCTGGTTTATCTTGCTTCTGTGCCCTGAAGGAGGATTTCCATCAGGATTTTGCTAGCTTGTTTCAGATTTAGTGGTTAAAAAAAAAATATCTGCTAACTCCTGTTTCTTGACCTCTGTGTAAAGAAAAATGAAAAACGTCACCTTTTCTGCATTTTTCTGGACACTTAGTAGTAGATCCTGAAATGCTGCATGCTTTATGGAAGTATCTGAAATAGGGGGCAAACAAGGTTGTTAATTACTGACAGTCTGGGGAATGTGCAAGAATATAATCCATAAAGGCTTTGCGAAGAATTGAAACTGTTGCTCGGGAAGACATTGTAGTGGAATTCAGTACAAAG